TCATGTAATTTTCACTTCATATCATCGTAGGAATGTGGGAAGAAATGAAACTAAATGGGGATAAACGCACTATAGTATGAGGGAATTTTTATTTCGAATTCCATCTATCAAGGGATATTTTACGTGCATGTCAATGTGTACACGGGATCTCGGTTTTTACCACATCCGAACGACTAGGTACTGTCCTTGCCAGGTCCTCCGTCCTGCACCAAATGCAAGGGGAACCACGCCGGAAAACCACGAGGAATTTTCTCGGCCAGCAACGGGAACGAACCAGAGACCTCCTGGTCGGCGACCAAGCGGCTTACTCCCGGAGCCACCGCGGAGGAAAATCTGGGAAGGGCGAGTTGAGATATTAGTTACGGTAGTTCTTTTATTCGTCTACCATGAGTCAGGATATTATTCGACCTGATTGACTTCAATAACAATTATTTAAAGAGTGTTTGTTTTATGTTCTGTATCTAGAGTTGCTATCGGTTTGTCGGTAGGATGTTTGTATATATATGAATAATTGATGATAATGATAGTTAGAAGCGCTATATAACCACACAACCTCAAGCAGTATAGTTTAGCTCCCAGTAATAACTTCTGATTTTGCTCTAGTCTCGATTACGTGTCATCTGGAAAATGAACACAATGGTGTCGTAACAAATACTATGGATATCATTTCTTTTTCGAGCAATGCGAGAGTTGAGTTCAAGCAGCTAATAATTCTACCTACCCATTTATAATATTAATTTTGACAATTTCCGTTTCGGCATCTGAACAAAAAAGCTAAAATGGGAGTGAGGATTCTGATACAACTGTGCAAGATTTTCTTCTTTTTTCTTAATATAAACCTGAGCCTTTGGAATAAGTGTCACAATGTGTGCATGTAGGTAATTCTATAACTGAAGACAGAAAGTACATCATCCATTGAACAGGGCAATTCAGTTTTCACATAATTTGTTAAGTTGCTTGGACTAAATTGCCAGTACTGTTTGGTTTTCATTCAAACAACTTATAACTAGTGATCAGCCAGTTAATTTGGAATAAATTACTAGTGCATGGTGATTTTTATTCAAATAGTCGGTTAGTGTGGAATAAATTATGAGTAGGTTTTAATTTTCACCCGAACAACTATTAACTGCAAAGCAACCGGTAAATGTGGAATGCTTACTAGCACAATTCGTGTTCATTCAAACAACCATCAACTGCCAAAGCAACCAGTTACAGTGGAATAAATTACCAGTACAATTTTCATTCAAACAACTATCAACAGCAAAGCAGTCAGTATTATATGGAATGAAATATCAGTGCAGGGCTTTCATTCACAATAAAAAAAAAATGTTTTTTTATTTATAATGTCGGCATAGTCTGATTTAAACAGAGCAATCAGTTCATTTGGAATATAATGCCGGTATAATAAAACATGTTTATATGAATTTAATATTTTAGCAGTGGTAGTGTACTTGCTATTAAATCTTGATAGATGGATATTAAATATGGAACGTGACGTATGTAGCTCGAGGGAATCAATGATAAAATGGTTGGACTAATCCAGAATTAAGCAGGGGAAATCGGGGGGAAAATTTGACTAATAACAATTATGCCGCTAAAATAGTTCAAATTCTTATAACGAAGAATTGCGTTTGAACCTTTATTATGTTAGACATTTGTGTAAATTATCATTATCAAATGAGAATTGTGAATATTCGTGACAAACCATAATATTGTCCATAATTAAAACTGGTTGTAGTCATAATACTAAAGGCAGGAGAGATAAAGTTCGTCGTTAGTAATCATATTTGGGGTACAAATCATTAATTTCAGAGATTCAACCGGGTGGCCTGTATTTACACTATTGTAGTACATACATGACATTATCGAATTAATATCGAATACTAACTTCTTACTGGTGGCATATATTGATCATAAAAACGTATAATGAATGAAACACTACTTTAAGTATTTGTTCAAAATACTGTCCCGAAAAAGGCTGACCAATTATGATGAAATGGATCATGTAAATAAAATACAACTACGTGTATTGTTTGGGGGTTATCCCACGAATTTATTTATTATATCTATATAAATGAGACAAAAATATAACAATTACGTAGTCGTTCAACATATCATTTAGTACAAGACTTCTTGGAGAGGAGATATAAAAGCAATCTGTAGATAATCATAATATTTGTGACTTCCGCAAAGGGAAACAATACAACCAATTGAATAAAACTGTTTTTCTATATTGTGATCTCGAATTGTGTTAGTAAACATCATTATGTTGAATACTCTGGAGAAAATAAATACATGACTTGAACTGAATTGTTACTGTACCTTTTTGCGTTTAATGATAAAAAAAATCAAATAGGGCCAACTATGTTGTGTGTGATATCAACCCGGATTTTACAGTGTGTATGATAAGGTGCTATAGATGGTCAAACATCAGGAAATGATGGGCAAATCATAAGGGGGGGTGTAATCTTGCTAGACGTAGTTGTATTACAAAATGGATATGGTGCTAGTGGCGTTACTGACGGCGGTGTTCAATTTGTTATCTTTTGATGTTATGGCCACATCTTCGCAGCTTTCAAAGAACACATTATTTATTTGTAAGTATGTTTTAAAGTTTATTGAGTTCATGTTCATAAATAAGGTTTTCAGCCATTGTAGTTTAGTGCACGAGGCTAGGTGTGTTCTCTTTTTTTCGTCCAACTCTACTGTATAAGAACCAATTTGAAGGCAGTATATGACATAGTTCTTGATACAGTTTTTTTTTTTCTAAACTGGGTGGGATTGTTCATTTGTAGTATTTTGCAGAGTTATCAGACCTGTCACATTTTGTTTATGAACGTGATACAGGACAATGTTGTTCAAACTTGTTGGGAATGTTCATTGATGTATAAGTTACTATTATAAGTAACAGTGGTATCTCTCCTTACACATTCAAAATCATGAAATAATGTCAAAGCGACATAGGTAATATAAGTTATAAAAATCGCGAGGATTGGTGTTTCATGTATAAGGAAAATCTCGTTCAAATTTTAAATTTTTTAGACAGCATGTGTTTAGCAGGTTTCCGATCATGTTTTAACTTTCAAAATTTGTGAACTTCTCGATGGAATATTTTAAAACTGGTGGGATAGTTTATTGGGACATATGGAGGTACCCTGTCATAAATCAAAACTATAGTTATGATGCGATCTTTTATTGCTTTGATTGCGTAAACTGTTCAGATCGGCAATGCGAAGAACACTATCAATTGCTGGCAATTTCTGACCAGATCTCCGTGATTATGTCCCAATTGTTTTAGCGATTTATGATGATGACTTTCAGAGTTATACACGTTGATTGTGAAACTCGGGACACTACAATTATCACTGCGTCTGATCTGTATGACATTTAAATAATAAATTCAGATTGGTATATACACGGTATAAGTTAATATAATGTAATGTATTATACTCTTCAAAAAAAGTAGGGGATATTGAAATGCAAATACCTATGCAGGTTGCGATATGAAAAATAATCATGGACATTTGGCATGCTTTGAGAGTATGTTCACAGATGAAGAACATATCGCGCCAACAGAACCACTGAGCTGCACATGCGACACGCAATAGCGCCATACACGTGGGAGGGGTTCATTATCAAATTTGACACTTCAAGGAAGGGTTGATGAAAACTGAAGTTTGCTGGTTTATCCTATTCATGTTTGCTTTCCTATCGGTTCTTGCCTAAGATTTACTGTTAAGCGTATCTTTGCTTTAGTGTGTTACGTTTAATTTGATCGGGAGACGTGTTCGTCAACGTCAACCGATAACACTGCAAGAATTGGCCGTGGCACTGCAAGTGGAATGGGTCAGATTGCCCCAAATCGTAATTGGACGGTTGCTTAGGAGCATGACATGACGAATTGCTGAATGTCTGAGGATTGGTGGAGCAATTACTCATTAAAGGACAATATTGGTGCCAGTCATTATCACATATGTGTTAGAGCTGGTTAAACACATTCCAAATATACTTTTAACACAGAGATCATTGGTACGATAGCTGAGTAATACAGGTTTCCCGTATCGGAAGTGACGAACGCCAAAGGAAAACACGAGTCACCGCTCTATATAACTGACTGAAGCGACGAGTGATAACAGATACACGGCCGAATTTCTACTCACTAATAATTCCTTCGAAGACCAAAAGTTGTTGTGTGAGACTGCGAGAGGATATCTGACAATTCATAAAAAGAATTGACTGCCACTAGATAAGAGAACACGTAATAAAAACAGAAAAGTCCGTGCATTACCATGTTTTTATAAGGTATAGAATGAATATAAACAAGGAAATGTACGGACTATTTCTATTTTTCTCGTCTTCTCTTATCTAATGACATTCAATTACTTTATTGAATTGTCAGATATCCTCTTACAGTCCCATATAACAACTTTTGGTCTTGGAAGGAATTATCACTCGTCACATCAGTCAGTTATATAAAGCAGCGACTCGTGTTTTCCTTTGGCGTTCGTCACTTCCGATACGGGAAACCTGTATTACTCAGCTATCGTAGCAATGATCTCTGTGTTAAAAATATATTTGGAATGTGTTTAACCAGCTCTAACACATATATTGTCCTTTAAGACAAAAATCAAAAACGTCCATGTTCACTTTTGACGGTGTATCTCTTTGCGAGTGAAGTGGAGCCGTCAGATAAGCCGCCCATGTGAACTGTTTATGTGCATGTGTAGGCAATTGGCCTGTTATTAACATACACTGGTTACCTCTAATAAAACAGCAGTGCATTTCAGCAGTTTTGTATTGTTTCTGAATATCCCCTACTTTTTTGAAGAGTATATATTATTTATATAGCAGTTCTTACCACTGATCAAGAAGAACCATTAACGCAACAAGTTTCACCGCCAACTGTTTTAAATTCAACTGAAAACCTTCCTAATCAAGTCACTAATGTAGTTGTACAGTGGATCCCTGTAATGAAGACCAACTATTTCAATTTACTCACTATGGGTAAGAACGTGTGTAATTATTCCCGAAAAACAAAACTATTTACTTAATTGTCAGGCACAAAATCAATGATATGTAGGCTGGCTCGCTAGCCTGGAGGTCGGGTGTTCGATCCCTGCATTGGCCGAGAAAGTTCATCCAGATTTACCGGCGTGGTTCCCCCTTGTCAGTGATGCAGGACGGAGGGCCTGACAAGGACAGCTGTCTAGTCCTTCGGATGAGACGAAAAACCGAGGTCCCGTGTATACATTTGAATGTACGTGAAAGATCCCTTGGCAGATGGAATTCCATATAAGAGTAGGCGATAGTGCCGCTGCCCGGGCAAAATTTCTCTTATAGCACACTGTATGGCGTATGCCCGTCTTCATTAGCCCAGTTTAGGAGCAGAACAGTGCGACGTTAAACCCCATTTCATTTCATTTCAATGATACGTCGATTTCCCATGTGTTATAATAAATAACAAGTTTAACATGTTACAAGTGTAATTGTAAAGCTTAATTTTTGCCATGTTCCTGAAGCAACGACCGCGAGTTTTACAATATCTAGGCGTTGCTAGACTAGTCTGACATTCCCGAACTTGCCCCCACATTGGACGAACCTTGAACTTTGCAACTCGATTATGACAGGTAAACATTTTAGCTGTAAAGCGCGAGACTTGGTATTCATGATGATATTTTCTATCGAGGAATGTAAGAGTTCCCCAGCTGGGTCAGGAATCAATCGAAATTAATGACGATAATATATGCAGGGTATTACGTGAAGGGCTTGATAAGATGTACGAAGTTAAAGCGAGATCAAGCCTTCTAATAATAAACAGACAGCTTTATTGACAATATCCAAAAGACGTCGCGTCGCATAATTGATCTGTTCCATTAAGATTTACAATTATGTATAGTAGTCATTGAATGGTATAAAACATAACCCGGCGTCTTTGCACAAATCTGCATACAAAATAAACAAATTATTTACGTTAAAATTATATTTTATATTAATCGGGATATCTTGCTTTCGTGTGCTGATTTCATTTTGTGTTTCAGTTAAGAACTTTAACAACACATCCGATATTATTTTCATCACAGAAGAACTGCGTTATCTTCTTCCTCAAGATTTTGCCGAATTTGAAGTAATCTGGTTTCCGTACAGAAAAGTTTCGTTATTATGTGAAGTACCGATGAGTAATGAAGAATATAGGGGAGACTTTATACCGTGTACATCTGATGATGAGATGAAGAATCAAGAATCTCGTTTAGTAGTAGATATTGTTAAGAAGTTAAAGTGGGAGACTGTCCTGATTATTTACGATAAAAAGACAGGTATCTACAATAACAAAAACATGGGGTGGGGCGATGATCGTTGCAGGTGTAATTTTATTTCGAAAGTTAAAATCATTATTGATTTGACTATCGCGGTGTTTTATATTTTCGTACTTTTTTAATACTTGATATCTTCTTTGATTTATCAATTGGAACTGACATGTTTTAATACTAAAAACCCTTACTTGCTACCTGAGACATTTACTGTTGTTTAAATCTTGCTGAACTTTCAAAATCGTGAAATCCTGATTTGTCAATCCATGTTGATATTTCACAATAATGGCCCCAGGCGTGACCTTCGACTCAAACAACTCTGATCTGTACTAAGTGGGGGCCATAGAAAGTGAAAAAGAAAAGGAGCGAAATTTTTGTAAATTATTGCTTATTGATTTGTAAATTGATGCTAACTTACTTTCAAACATAATATTCTAATTGATTTGGTTTACTTTTAAATATAAATTCCTTCTTGATTCATACAATAGGTGTTGACTTACTTATTGATTTATACAATAGGTGTTGACTTACTTATTGATTAATACAAAAGGTGTAGACTGCTTATTAATTTATACAATAGGTGTTGATTTACTTATTAATTTATTTTTTAAGCCTTTGTCAATCGGCGATGGTTCTTTTTCGGTACCCTTTTATTTATTTATTTGTGAATCAACGTTATTACTACAATGTGGATGTGTCACATTGTCGACTTCATACAGACTGTTCATTAAATTATTTTAAAAGCGCTTGAAACTCCCCCAATCAGATCGACATATGATGCGACGATTACCTGTATTTAGACACAATCTGCCGTCACATTTACTCCCTGAAATCGTTACCAATACTTTGTCTAAACCTTTTTTTCTCTTTTCAGAATCTAGTGTTAATTCTATAGTAAATAGTTTATCGTCTGATGATGTCCAGATATGGTTATATACGGATGACAAGAGTGTGTATACATATAATACATACCCTGGTCTATATCAGGTCTACCAAAAGAGGGGAGGGAAAAATTTAAATGTGATCGTTCTGTGTTCAGTCGATTGTACTCATAGACTCATACAAGAGGTATGTTTTTTTAAATGGCGTGACAAATAAAAACGCCCGCCTTATAGTTATAGTGTCATAAAAGTTTCGTTTCACAGAAGGAATATACAATTTTGTAATCTCATTTAATCTCGACCAACAGGTCTCTTGGAATTGGATATTTTGAAAATAGGCCCATCACATGCTCAAAGGGGTAATTTATGTTAAACGACAACGTATTTAAAGGAACGTTGATATATTTCAATGGGTATGTAAGCGATTGTATGTATGCTAATCAAATGCGAACATGTAGAGAAATAGCCACAATTGTTTGCTTGTTTCTAAACATGTGTTTGAACAATTTGCTATGCTACCATGTACTGTCTTTTCTCTTGTACCACCTGACAATTCTCGCAAGTATTTGGATTAGGTATTTGTATAGTAAACAGCAAAAAAAACAAAAAAAAACGTCACTACGATTTGAAAATCAGAGAGGCACTTTAATCAAATCATTCTAGAAAACGACTTACTAAACGGATCAAAGCAAATTTTTGTGACCAGTATGTTGACACATTAGTGATTAATTCATCACAATTCCAAGACATTACGAGACGGTTTAGAGTCTGTACACAGTCTATACATCAGTATCTGGTGTGTCCATCGCGAGTGTCAATAACAGCAGCGCAGCGTCTGTACGTGGATTGGACCAGACGATTGATGAACGCCATTGGCACCCACACTCTCAGAAAAGCTTGGCGCAATCCATCGGCTGTGTTTGGTCCCGGTACGACGTTATTAAGTCTCCTCTGAATTTCATCAATCGGGTTTAAGCCCGGACTAAGGGTTGGCCAGTGCATAACCTTGACACCTTTCTGCTGTAGAAAAGCCCGGGTAACTCTGGCGGTGTGGGCACGGGCGTTGTCATGCTGGAAAACGTTGTTAAGATGACGTACGAAATGTGGTATGACGTGGGGTCTGAGAGCTTGATCGATGCTGCTGTGATGCCGCTTCCTCTCCCAGGACCAAGATTTTGGAACACCACAGGACCCACTCTCGAGTTCAGGCTGATTCCACCCCAAACCATTATGCTTGGACCTCCCCATGAGTCTCTTTCCATGACACATTGTTCAGAATAACGCTGGTCACGTCGACGCCATATTCTGGTCCTGTGAACAGAACAGTTCTCCATTGCCTGTGTCGCCAGTTCTGATGTTGTTGCGCAAACTGTAGACGTCTACGGCAATTGATGTTCTCTCTGGTGAGACGTCGGCGCACTGCATCGGTACTGACGTGCTGTCTCAGATGCCTGTGTGAAGGGATTCTGCACGTGCTGTCGCACAACATCCGTGGTGTTGGTGGCCCGAAAGCGTTGCTGAAGCCTCTAGATGGTCCGAGCATTGACCTGGAAGTAATTGGCAACAGCATGGGCAATGTGGCCAGCGTCGAGTCTTCCAAGCGCCTGGTTCCTCTGAGCTGTCGTGAGTTGTGTCCTGCTGCTGACGTTGTAGTGTGAATGATTCAACCAGGTATGGGGGTGCATTTTATAGGTCTGGTCCCGGTGAACATCTCGTGCAGCAGGAGTTACATGAAAATCGTGGAGAACACATTACCATCTCCGAAGTCAGGTTGCGTTTTTGAGAACATTTTCTGGGTTCAATTCTGTATTTGAGAAGGAACCTTATTGCTTACAAATAAACACTGAAAACATTTGGCAAGTTTTATGCAATGCGTCTATTCGGAGTAACATACCAACCCGACGTTTCTTTTGCTGCTTAGTATATTTATGTTAATTTGTTTTGTGGAATCAAAATCTGTCTTCATTAAAATATTTACGTCCTTAAGTAACCTCAGTAATCAGTAAACAATCCCACTTTAATTTAATCTTTCCACATAAAAATATAATCGTATAAAGTGTATTACACCAGTAATAACAAACCAAATCAACTTAGATCAAGGACCTAAATCAAAGCGATTTGCTCCTGTAGTCCATTCAATTAAAGCATAGATCCAAATTTTTATCGTATATTTATGTATTTCCAGTGACACTGTCGCGCAAAACTACTCACAACAAAATTTGAACTATAAAAAGCGGAAAGAAATATAATATTTGTTGTACCCACATTGCTTTGTAAAGAAATGTTATTATGCTTGTTTAGGCGAATGAATTTGACAATCACCATGGTAACACGACAGCGTTGAAACTGTGGTCTAAATGGTTGATATTACAGTCTAATGTTAACAAAACCTTTATAGAAAGAAAGGGTATAGATATAGATAACATAGCAGTGGTATTTGATCCTAGAAACAGAACCTGTCCTAAAACGAACATAAAACAGGTAAGTGCTTAGTATTCTCCAAATTTCATAATCCATTAGAAAAGATAAAATCAACGAAGAGTGAACTGTAACTGGTTTCCTTCTAACTTTAGATTATAACTTGAACAAACAACTAAGTGTATTCTGTTTGGACATCCGTTATTCGCATCTAATCAATCCATTACAGATATGTGGTTTTTGAGAATCGGAGCTGTAAACTATCTGACATATTCGTCGTTTGTCATTTTCAAATAACTTTTGATATTTATTACGTCAAATGAAATCACACCACTCTGTTTGAATGGCTGTCATTAGATATACATACTATTGTTAATATTTTTCATTTATTACAGGGTTAATAAACAGTTTTTGAAGTTTTCTTTATCGTTAGAAACAACATACATTTTAGTCAACAATAAGTTTTTGGGATCCAATGAGTGACGTAATTAATCTCTAAAGAACACATCTATAAGTGACTGATATTTGTAATCCAGTCAAATCACAATTATTATAATTTTTGAAAAACAGTCCTGGTCACCAGACCTGGGCCCTTCCCAGTTATACTCTCCCTACGTGAATACACTGTGTTCCATACATGAACTTATGAAGCCATGTTTTGTTTCAGGATATAATCAAGATATTATATGACCTGTACGAAAGGAGTTCAACAGACAACTGTTCAACACTATTAACTAATGTAACACAATTAAAAAAACATGTATTGAACGTAAGTTTTACAATATTAATGATTAAATAAACAATACTTTGTCTTGTCTTGTGAGCTTTAAAGATAAACAATGTACTAATGTATCAATATTACGCTTACTATAGCCCACCATTTTGTTTTTGCCTACCACTTTCCAATCTGATTTATATATCGTTTCGATTTTCAACTTTCGATCGTTACCGGTATTACCCCACATTGATCAGCAGTGATTTTTTTCTAAACCGTTACAATCACTTCGGCTCACGATATAATTACAATCACTGCGGGTTAATTAGCTCGCGATATATTTTTTTCTTTACGCAAATTAAATTCTAGAACATTTTTTGAAGTATTAGAAAAGTAGATAACGGTGTTTAAAGTATATCTGGATAAAGATATATTTCTTATTTAGTGTAAATGGGTATATAAAATGTGCCGTTCTGCCCGGTCCAGTTTACGCCACGACATCTTTTGTAAACAATGCATGCGCCATTGAGCCAATGATCGACGATTTGTGATGTGACGTCACACGTAGTAGACGTCACTTATAAAGGTCAGTTATCTGATACAGAGGTATATTAAGGCTTTCGCAATACCTCTGTGAAACAGATTGCTATTAACAATAGATAATTTCCGGTAATTTTCGGTGTTTTTGAAAATCATCATGAAGTCGGAACGGTTAAACATACATTATGCAAGAGCTAAATCTGCCTATTGTAGGTTTTTCTTTAGGCCTGAAATGTTATATAAACTATTAATTAGACATTAATTAACGTATCCAGACCATAATCAACTCTCGATGTCAACGCTAACCTGCGATAATTGTTGGATTATGATCCGATTTGCTGCATAACTTTCCTTCTCGATTTAACGATTAAATGGATAATCGTACCGACTTTAGTAATGATGACCGAGGCTATGCGGAACTATCGATCGCTTATTTCTTGGTTCATAGTGGATCAATTTGACTGAATTTTTTTAGCAAATTGGCTTTACATTATCTAGTTCTTAACTATTATAGTGAGAACTGCCAACTCGTTATCTAATCTCCCATAATGTATCTTTAACTGAGAAAGTAATTTATTAAGATTTAGGACTGGATTATCCTGGAGGGATGCGGTCCATCTACAGATGAAACGTTGTTTATTGTCTTTACTACGCGTTAGATAACGGTTTTATTAATACACTGTTAGATCGAAGGTCGCCTCCCCCCACCCCCAGTTGATCAGTTAATCCCTCACATCAGCCAGAATGCGGGTTATTTAACAACGCTTCCGGATCCTGTGTAGTGAAGGCAAGTAAAACGGAATTTTGAACTACAAAAACAAAGCGACCGAGATAGGACCTGAGTTTTTATGAGATTACCGTAATATGTGAGCTGTTGGTTCTCTTTTGCTAAGCTCAGTTATACTGATGTTTTTAAATTGTTTTGTGTTTTATTCTCTATAGGTATTTAATAACACACCATCAGTTTCACAAAGCCCTACTTTATCAACTTTACTATGGAGAACATATACCAGAGAATTATCCGAGGTCTTTACTGTTGATAATCTTTTTCCTAATTATAATTTCAACTTCAACAATAGAATGTTCGTAGTGTCTACGATGGAGGTAAGACATTAAACGTTTAAAACCTTCGCCCCACCCCTTCACCTGTTACTTATAATCATTGTTGTTCCAAATTATATTGATTTCTTCATTCCAAAATATGCGATGTAAATTATTTTATTAAAACATGTTCAGTCACAATCCTCGATTTCCTTTACCTTAATAAATCTAACCATGTTGAAATTATTTATAATTGCAGTGGTGGCCATTTATTATAAAAGAAAGGCGTGGTAATAAAACTACATACAGTGGTATATGTTATGATTTATTAAAGGAGTTATCCACAAGTCTCAACTTCAGGTACTGACTTATTGACTAACTTAACATAACAAAATATATGCCTTTGATCTCTTCGACCACCTAAAGAACCACTGTGGAGGCCTTTGGGTCACTCACCAGAAGGTCAAGGGTTCGATCCCGGTGTTGGCCAAGAAAGTCCCCTCCCCGACCTCCCCCACCCCCTAGATTTTTCAGTGTGGTTTGACCTTCTCTGTGGTGCAGGGCGGATGGCCTGTCAAAGAACAACGTCTGGTCGTTCGAATGGGACAAAAATTCAAGGTTCCGTGTTAAATAACTCTTAACGGTTTCAATTCTCTGGCGTTATCCTCCCTTTCATCTCATTTTAGTTTACATAACCGTATGTATATGGCTACATTTGTTGCTGAAAACAACTTGTCTTAATGGCTATGAATCTGAAACATTATTTAATTTCAAACCATAAAATGTCATTACTATTGTAGCAGTCACTTAGAAATATCGGAAATGTGTGTGTAGCAAATAGGCAACGCTACACTCTATAGCAATATGTCTACCATTCTGGTCATTGACTATTTTCAAACTAACGATGCGTCCAATTTCTCACGGCTTAATCCACGCTAATATGTTCTCGGGTTGTTTAACACCAAAATACCAACGCTGATAAATAATATCCCGTCTCAGATTCATCAATAAATATTCGCGGACAACAAAATGGTAGTGAGCTTATTGAGGAGACGACCGCTGTCAAGATTGGTCGCATTATTTCTGTTACGTCTTTTTTGTATTCCTGATTGTTTTCAAATTTGAGTGATGTCTGTGTCACTACAGGCCCGGGACTGTACAGGGCAGTGGACGCTTACGGCTGGCCCCCGGATCCATTCACTTGATTTGATATTTGTTTATTTGGTGCAATGTCTATTTTCTGTTTTGTTCGCAGGTTTATCTTGTATATTTTTGTTTTACGTGTAGGGCGGTCCTCCTGCACTTACTAATAGAGAGCAGCACACATCTACCATATTTTAATTCAATATATCTAAATCGCTAATATTTGAGACCTAGAAATTGACCCAAATGGGTCGCAACGCATATAAGAATGTAATCTGATTGTATATAAACTGATTTTGCATTCAATTGTTTCCGTTTTGACTCTAATTTCAAATCAGTTATGTCCAGCGAAATACGGCATGAGTCTCAGCCGAATAGCATTTTCTAGCGTCTGGTTATTCCAGTCTATCGCGCATGCTCTGCAGATAAGATATGGCGTCACCGTTTGACAGGAGTTGTGGAATATGTCTAGCCTCGTTCTTTCTGGTCACTTGTTGAAAATGACGCTGAAACGCACTGAGGTGCGTGTTTCGTGTACCAATGGTAAAATGTTTATTTTGTCTTAAATATTGGATATCAGAAGCCTACCTTTTCCTGGTAAGATCACAACATCAATGTTGATTTGAATTGACAAATAATTCGTATGTTCAACGTGTAAGACTTGATATTGAGTTAGAGACTTAGCTACTTTAAGTATTTCTTTCTTATATTATGTGTTGTGGGCGTACTAATAATTTTTAATGTATTGTTATCTGCATACATTTTGTTACACTAGTAGCACCGAGGTAACATGTCTTTAAATATATACAAAAGTCAAATAAAGGTCAAATCTGCAGATATCAGAAAGAAAAATGTGATATTCTACTGATGTCAAACCGACTGGAGTACAGTGTTAAAAGAAGCCTTTTGTATCATTGGTGTGGAAAAATTTGTTGAAAATGTGATTATACAAAGCCACACGGTATGATCCATGCTCCCTGTGCATGACAAACAAACGCCCTTTTTTAATACTACGATGTGTATCATGAGTAAATAATTACTTAATAAAATATAATAACTTCATTTCTCTTTTTTTTTCTATGCAGTTTTCAGTTAATTGAACCACCAGATCAAGAATGGGGTATTATGAAGGACGGAAGATGGACTGGTTTGATTGGACAGTTGGCAAGATCGGTAAAATATTTTCCATAGGTTATGAAGGCATATTGAATATGGAAGTACTTAGACGGTGGTTCTAGTCCCAGTAGTGTCAGTAGAATATCGTTAAGTGCGATGCAGTCTGTTATGGAAGGATAACGTTGCCAATATTATTTCAATGTTCAACTGCATATGTTAGCAGTTCAAAATACGTATTTTAGTTTTACAATTTGCAATTTCTATTGCTCCACAATACCATTGTCACAGTGTTGAAATACAAAATACACTTTTCAATATTAAAAAACAGTATAATAGTTATTTTGCACATTACACTTCTCCATTCTGGATTTTTGCATAATAAACAAAATGCTTAATAGAACTTGGCAAAGTAGAACATATACCTTATATTGGATCTACGACGAAGCTTATTTGCATACGGAAAAAGGTCCGGATTTGGACGGAAATGAATAATTTACGCGATCAATCTACAAGGTCAATGGCACACTGATCAGCAGGCCGCGACAATCACCGATAAGGATGACATCGATGCGACTTAATGAGCCACAAATATTAACTTTTTTCCTCCGACAAATTAAATTCTAAAACACTTTTTTTTTATGTATTAGAAAAATAAATAAAGATGTTTGGCGTATTTGTAGGTAAATTTATTTCCTATTTAGTGTAAATGGGTATTAAAATGAGTAAAAGACCCCATTCCGCCTGAACTAGTAACGTCTTATGTAAACAATGCACGCGCCATTGAGCCAATGATTGACGCCGCGTGATGAGACGTCACGCGTTGAAGGTAGTCAGCTTTTACAGACATATTAGAAGACTTTCGTAATCCTCTGTGAAACAGATTGGGTCAATGGGCAGAGATCAAGCTGGTATACAATAAATCACCACACAAAAGTCGGCTTAACATGCAATAAGAGCGAATCAAGCTAACATGCAAAAAGGGATTCGCTGGATGACCATGACTTCTGTGAAAGCATGCGCTGGATATGGCTAATCCGAGCCTTCGATAAGCCCCGCATTTTTACTTCATAACGCCCCCAAACCCCCTTCACTTCAACATTAATCTTTTTATCTTTTTTTTCAAAGTAAGTAGCTAAGTGGGTAAGACGCTGGCTCGCTAGCCTGTAGGTCGCGTGTCCGATCCCTGCATTGGCAGAGAAAAAATATCGGAATTTTCCGACGTGGTTTCACCTTGTCAGTGGTGCAAGAAAGAGGGCTTGACAAGGACAGCTGTCTAGTCGTTCGGATGTGACAAAAAAACGAGGTCCCGTGTATACATTATCGTGCACATAAAAGATCCCGTGGCAGTTGGAATTTGATATAAGAGTAGACCATAGTGCCGCTGAACGGGAAAAATTCCCCTCGTAGCACACTGTATGGCGTATGCGCGTCTTCATTAGCCCGGTCGAAGCAGAACAGTAGGCCGTTAAATACAATTTCATTTCATTTCATTTTTTCAAAGTATGTAAATATTAATGTGCCAGAAAATTATTTAAATTTTTGAAAAGAAATACGTAACATGATATCTAAAATTCGTATTGAGACAGGTACATGTACGGTTACTTTAAATACCCCCCCCCCCCCACGTCATTTAATAGAGTTTCGTACCACCCGACTTCAATCGTTTTTCTTTCCCCTTATCAGTGATGCATAACGGAGGGCTTGACAAGACAAACTGTCTAATCGTTCGGATGGGACGAAAAACGAGGTCCTGTGTACACATTGGCGTCCCTTGGCAGTTGGACTTCGATACGAGAGTACTGTAGGCCGTATATAACGCCGCTGCCCTGGCACCCCCCCCCCCATAGCACACTGAATGGTGTATGCCCGTTTTAATTAGCCCAGTCGGACCAGAACATTTGATTGATCGTTTTCCGAAGGTCTGTAAATATGAGTACCAGTCCCCTCTACTGACCTTGACCTTGTAGATTGGTCGCGTAAATTATCAATTTCCGTCCTAGTCAGGACATTTTTCCGTATGCAAATGAGCTTCGTCGTAGATCCTATATAAGGTATATGTTCTAATATGCTAAGTTCTATTATGCATTTGTATATTATGCACAATGGAGAAGAGTAATGTGCAAAACAACTATTATAACTAGTGTGATAATCTGCCAGTCGCTAAAATTAATGTTTCTGAAATTAATAACTTTAAGATTAACTGGCTAGTAAGTATAAGTTAACCTGCCATCATTTTGCAGGTCGGCATTCGGTAACGATGTTAATTTCATCCATGGTTTTCTTTATTATTATAATGTTATTTATTATATCGTTTAATCCCTTATGGGTTGTTAATCTATTGACATGTCAATTTGATTATAATATTGTTTATTTTAATCTTATTATTCTATTTTCTACCACAGTTGTGCATTGATCGACGCATTGATCAATATGTCACTAGTCCGGATCCCTTACTATGTGCAATACTATGTTATGAAGATATGTTTTTCCCCGGTATATTTAAGTATTAGAGAGTAATGTTATCCCAAGTCTGTTATTTCCGAAGAAAAGTTACGTTTAGAAAAAAACCCTCTTAATATGGACGCGGGGTCAGCAATGACTGTTCGTACGTGATAGACACATCCAGGAATCCTGTCTGGCTTGCAAATCCGTCACTGCTTTTGGGGTTCATTTTACATAGAAATCAGACATTAATAGCTGTTGTATTACTGTTTCAATGTCTATGATATAACGATTTTTCTAATATATTTACAGGAAGTCGACCTTGTTGTGGCAGCCATCACAGTCTCTAACGCCAGAGAAACTGTTATGGATTTTAGTTTTCCATATTTCTATGACTCTACTGGCATTTTCTTAAGGAAACCAGACGCGGGCTTACAAAAATGGTATACTTTATTAGCTCCGTTTACATGGCAGGTGTTATTGTGTATATGTGGTGTTCTAGTTTTTACCAGCGTGTTTCTATACCTTATAGAAAGACTCAATCCATATTATGAAAGGAAAAACCAGATGAGAAAACGGTTTCAATTAGATAGCGCATTATGGTATCTTTTAGGTGCTTTATTGGCACACGGTAAGTTAGGGATATGTTTTCTTGATACACCCAAATGTTTATTTATGGGATGTGTTTATTTCACCAAAAAAAACATTTTCCTTTGTAAAACTATTAAATGTTTTGGCTGTTATACAACAGCACAAGTGGGAATTAAAACAAATCATATTGATGTTGCGTAATCAAGGAGAAGGCGATTGAAAATACACAAAAATCAAAATATTCCTGATTTTAAAGACTCCGTAATTTGATCGGCTAAACGAAAATGGGATTACTTTGAAATCCGGATTAGAATTCACGAACTAACATGGTTAAAGGTTTCAGCCACTTCCAGTCTGACTTTTGAATCCTTTTTTTTTATTTTATTGTTTCTCGTGTTTCGAATTAAAACAAAGAAGTGGTTTGAAATACAACCGGTGCCACTTTTTAACAATATGTTATAATGGCTAACACGAATATGGTCCTTTAGGTAGTTCCTAATATATAGCAAACCTTTCCTTAGTGTTATGTAACCAAAATGTTTTTATTTACTGAAAATGTACTTAACAGGAGGCGTTCAGGTACCACCTACCTTGGCAAGTCGTGTTATTATAGGCTGTTGGTAAGTACTTAAAACGACAATATTGTTATTATATGTTTTACACAACAATAGTCTTGTATATTCTTCTTCTGACAAGAAAAGACATGACATATGTAGTTCAACAGTTACAGGCTGTAGAGCCTGACACATGCCTTTTTTTCTTTTTCATTATCCCGCTTGGTGCAGAATCGTAAGACGTTGAACCCCATTTCTTATTATATTTGCAGGTGGTTGTTTTGTATCGTATCAACAGCAACTTACAGTGGTAACCTTATAGCTTTTCTAACAGTAACTAAAGATAAACTTCCTTTCGAGACATTGGAAGGGATGTTACAACAAGACACGTATAAATGGGGCATTATGGGTGGAAGTGTTGCAGAAACCTTGTTTCAGGTAGGATTCATGGGTAGGAAATTCTGTCTTATATAATATGGCATTGGTACATAAAAATAGCAAGACCGTTTCTAAATGGTAATGTATTATGTTAAGTATAGAATGGCAGTCGGGAAACGATTGAATGAAATCGAATCTCACGTCTTTGATAACACATGATAACCTCAATATAATATATTGAATATTAAGTACCTTGGTGATCCCACCTGGTGGCGCTTATATAAGGTTGTGACCTTCCAGTACTATGTGCATTGTTAATACAGCATTTTTGATTATATAAAATCTTTTATTTATATTTTGTAGAATTCATCTATAGATACTTACCAGCATATTTGGAGGAAATTGCTTGAATTCTACCGATATGACCCGGATGTTCTTGATCCAAGCCAGACAAGCCATCTACAGAAAGTGTTACAGGGCGACTACGCAGTAATTACTGATAGATCTGTTCTCGCCGCTTGGTCAAAATACGCCTGTAATATCAGTCTGTTACCAGAAAAATTCTTTCCTAATCATTACGCCCTTGGTCTTCCTAACAATTCTCCATACTTAGACATGTTCACTAGTCAGTAAGTACGAATTTATTCGATTGAATCTATTGTAAGCAAGATGTCGATAGTTCAACTCTCTTCACATATTCAACCACGTCTGCATAGTCATACTTCATGTTAAATTCACCTTAAATTAATGTTTACATGGTTTAGAAATGGGCATCAGTTGAACGCCAATTGCCTACTGACATTTTGGAGATGAACCGTTTATTTAGTATTAAACGACTGGGCGATATTTATAGCATTTTTCGCCCCGTCAACTGTGCATGTGTGGTAATAAACCTTCGGGCGATTTTTATAGACTTTTTGAATATATATTATTGGTTTCAAATACTGAAAATCCGGAGTAGCTAGTTTCGATTAAAATACATTAATTGTTTATCCATATAACTAATGTGTTTAGTTTTATGTGTTCAGTTACTAAATGACATTTAAAAAGTAACTGCTATCGCTGAAGCCGCGGTGGCTCAGTGGGAAGGGCACTGGATCATATACCAGATGTTCAGGGTTCGATCCCAGTGTTTACTGAGAAAGTTCTCCAACGTGGTTTCCCCCTTGTCAGTGGTGCTCGGGTGGGAAGAAAAACCGAGGTCCCTTGTATACGTTGGCGTAGACGTATAATAACCCTTGACAATTGTAATTCGAAATAAGAATAGGCCGTAGCGCATTATGTGGAGTATGCCCGTCTTCATAAGCCTGGCCGGTGCAGAAAACAGGACGTTAAACCTCATTTCATGTCTGCTATACCGTTGTTATTTGACTTACTAATAGCTGTTTTATATTAAGCAGGGGATCACGTGGCTAAGTGGGTAAGACGCTGGCTCGCTAGCCTGGAGGTCGGGTGTTCGATCCCTGCATTGGCCGAGAAAATTCATCCCGATTTTCCGGCGTGGTTTCCCCTTCTCAGTGATGCAGGACGGAGGGCCTGACAAGGACAGCTGTCTAGTCGTTCGGATGGGACGAAAAACCGAGGTCCCGTGTACAAATTGGCGTGTACGTAAAAGATCCCTTGGCAGTTGGAATTCGATATAAGAGGAGGCCGTAGGGCCGCTGCCCGGGCAAAATTTCCCTCATAACACACTGTATGGCGTATGCCCGTCTTTATTAGCCCAGGTTAGGAGCAGAACAGTAGGCCGTTAAACTTCATTTCATTTCATTTTTATTTATATTAAGCAGAATTACTTAAAGTAACAAGTTTCATACCCACATAACTTCCACAATACTTTATTTGTTTTACAGAATGATTCAGATATATGAAAGCGGTCTTTTACAAATATGGAAACAAAGATGGTGGCCTAAAACCAGCTATTGTGCGGGAAGTCTTCAGACACATGCAGACGCTGTGGACTTGTTGTCATTACAAAGTGCGTTCTACATCATTGCTATAGGTTTATTTCTAGCTCTGTGTGTACTGGTATGCGAAGTGATTCGTGTTAGGTACAAATGCTGTATTGGTGGAATTCATTAAATCGAAAGCGTGAGTGAACTTGGAGGAAACGAAGAGTAGTTAAATTCATGATTAATGGTGTGTCCTCGACATAAGGTTTACTCTTACATGTAGTTCGAAATTTAGATCTAACCAAAAAATGCTTATTTTGTGTTCCTTCACTCCAACTTATCGACACACACTATAACTATGAAATTGAAAGATATAAACGGAAAGACTGGTCCATCCCACCGTGGGAATGTTGTCTACACAGCACATCAGCTCCTTAAACTGTGTTGCATAGATTACAGTACCGTGGCGTTAGAGGTTTCATCAACCCGATTATCTTTTGGATGATCGGTTATATCAAATCAACGATCCATATTTCATGTAGTGTTATTGTTGGTTGTAAATCATCGGCAAGTTTTTTTCTCATCGGGGTTCCTAATTTAAGAAGAAATGTCATCGTTGTGAATTTCATTAAGTTGGCGTAAAAAGCAAAACAATAACTGGGATTGAATTAACATTTTTATTGAAATACATCAAATTTGTACAAATTAATAAATAATCATGTTTCATTATTAGCACAAAGTTCTTATTCTCTCCAAAGAGAATAGAAAGAAAACAGCCGTTTTAGCATTTGCAGAATGGATCACCATAATTGTTTTTTCTTATTTAACAGTAAGTAGTTTGTCGGGTGTAGCATTCCATAATTTCTTGATATTCCAATTCTGTCTCACAACACACAATAATTGATTAGACGAAGGCTATAAGCCAAATTATTCGAGGGGACATTTCATCAAAAAAATATTGTTGCGGTTTTGACAACCTATGTTTGAAATTAGCACATTATTTGAAATTAACACATTAAAATCTTGCTTGGTTTTGACAATTCATATTTAAATAAACCCATTACTTGATTTTGACAATTCATATTTCAAATAAACACATTACTTGGGATTTGACAATTCATATTTTAAATAAACACATTACTTGGGTTTTGACAATTCATATTTCAAATAAACACATTACGTTGTTTAATACAATATCAATAACTTTTACGTTTATAATAAAATAAATACCTACACCAATGCGTAGTGCAAATATCCCTGAATAAACATCTGACTAGCCAATAATGTTAATAGTATTACATAATAGATATATAAGTTAGTCCGAATTATCTGACCTTTTTACTGTTATCCTCTGGCGGCTTGTAGAAAACTCTGGTAGTTTTGTAAAGCCTGGGAAGAGTCACACATTTCGGACTAATGTATAAGCACACATTGCATCGGAATAATGATGGTGGCGTCCCAAACACCAAATATAAAATACTATTTACAAAAATACTTGAGCAAAAATAATAGCTGATTTGTTTTATTCGTTAAGTGTTAGTATACTCTGCTTCCTTATACGCCATCCGCCATGGTACATAACAGCTACCAGGCCCTACTTCCCGTTGAAGGGAGTTTGGGGTAACTCTATAAAACATTTCCGGTGAAAGTGCACAAACCTGATAAATGGTATTGACAGTCATAAATGACACTTGATAGCATTGTCAGGATGTAGCAACTATCCATTCGTCTTCTGAATTTTAAAGATCTTTTAAGTACATTCTACATGTAGTTATGGAGAAAGAAATGACTAATATTATTGTTTGATAATGGGAGATGGTTTAAGCATCATTCACATTTGAAAAACAAAATCGTTAGAGAGACAATTAGTTATTGAAAGTATGTTATGTATTATGAAGATTGGTAAGCATGAAAGTGGACATCATTTCACAATATAAAAATATACAAACAAAAAAGATTCTTCCCTCCCGTATCAGATTTTTTGTAATGAATGTTTGGGAAACTAAATGTTTTGTATAGCCTTAATGTTGCTTTTCGCCTTCTCCAAGATGTGTAGGTTTTTGATTCTTCATAATGCATCTTCTGACGAACTCAATGCCCAGAGTAACGAAAGCTAGAAACAACCCAATACATAGGACATAGAAAGCACTCTGTAAGGACAGCAGATCAATGGCTTCAGTTTCTGCAGTCAAGGATCCCTTACAAAACTTTGTTTTGGGCCACCAGTTCTGCTGCCAAACTTGTAAAAGTCCACTTTCATAGATCTTTATCATCCTAAAGAATAAAAACATTTAACGTTTAACATATAACTAAGTTGCTGGGGGGGGGGGATATGTATACACGGCTACAAAAATGATAGTCAAAGTCACATGAACACCAGGTACCACAAGTACTTTGATTTGAACACTGATACGAATAGATTGTGCCAGGGATATTTACGCATTTGATTTCACAAAAGGAGTGCATTCGATTCACATATTCCCGATATTGGCCACGGCTTTCCTAAGTTCTCCCAGGACTTCCTCGGTCCACAAACTAGGTCGCAGTCGTTCACGGTTTGAGTACTGGTTAGCCCCGATTTGCTCACCGTAGAGCCACAGGGGTCAAATACTTGGAATCTAAGACTAGTGTATAACCGAAAACACGGAAGTGGTCAAAAAACGATGAGTCGTTGTACATAACGGTAAATATTCAACACGTAATATGCTTCACTAGAGTGTTAATAAATTTTACTAAACATTACTAACTGGTTTGAGATGGGTTTGATGTAAATAAACTATATTAAACAATACTTACTGGTTTGAGATGAGGTTGGTGAAAGGCGAGTGATTTGGAAGACCAAGGGCATAGTGATTAGGGAAGAACCGTTCATTGAGTATTTCTATATCGCACTGATGTTCCGACCAGGAAAAGATCGAAGACCCATCATCGATTACAGCGTACTTGCTGGACATCATTCGATCGAAATGTGCATCAATACTTGGGTGAAGATGATTTGGGTTGTTTTCACTGAATCTTTTTATTCCTTCCCACACGTTCTGATATGTTGGTAAGTTAGAGTTCTAGAAAAGAAGCAAGATACAAAAACTTAGTAATATCCCTTTACATGTATCATTCTGAATGTAACAAGGCACTTCCAGTTATTTGCTTACAGGAGTGATACCCCAATGAACAATAGGTGGAAAAAACAAGCATACCATCATTATCATTTTTCAACGTAATGTAAAATGCTTAATGCAGCAGTCCCAGTATTTACAGGGCCCCGGACTGTCCGTTAATAAAAGTGTTTTTATTTAGGCAAATCAAGTCAAAACAGGAATAATCCCTATTCCAAAAATACTGAGCTTTCGGAAACGATCGAGGTTGTGTAACCCATTTAATTGTTCAGTTGTGTTAGTGACTTGAGAACAGGCCCTAACCTAATTAACCGACATTTTAATTCCTACATCGACGATTTTAGTCCGTAACACTGAGTATGCGTTTAGAAAATTTTAGAAGTGTTTATTTCTCTTTTATTTTCATATTGAATGAAATTTAATATGTTTATTTAGCCGTTGTGTGTATGAAAGATGTCAAACGGATGAGAGTCGAAGCATGAAATAGTACACTAAGTATTCAATATGGCAGCGCCCATGAAAGATAGGTTCACAGAAGCGGCTTTGTTTGCGAAGACAAATTTAGGAGTATCTAACCTTGTTTTGAAAGATAAACAGTTTGAAACTCTAACGGCAGTTTACAATGATGAAGACTGTATTGCAGTATTACCCATTCATTGGCACATATTAGATATCGTTTTTACCGGAGTAGCAGAAGTCGACTTGACATATTTGTTTACATAAACCACGTGCTTCGCGTATAAAAAGCACTATATATATACGTCATTGGCAGTATCAGTCGATAAGTCCCGCCCCAAAATGATCACGTGAGCGTTTTAAATGGACGTCATTTAGGGCAGTGATGTATTCTCGAGGATGAATTAGATGGATCGCTGTGTGCAGTATGCCATATATACATGAGTCATGACAATCCAGACACTTATATATCCATGAATTTGGGAATTTGTAATTCAGCAGACAGTAGGACGGTAAACCTCATTTCATTTCATTTATAATTCACCAGATATTGTTTGTTTTAATATCTGTGTTTACCTTGAATAATGTTTCCAAGAAGCTGCCTTGTAAATACCCCCAGGTATATTCGTCATTAGCTACCATCTCAGCCAAGGTACTAAAGGGGACTTCTTTCGTTGTGACAGTCAAGAAAGCAATAAGATTTCCACTATAGGTGGCGGCACAGATCATACAAAACAACCACCAGGTGGAGATAACTAGTCGTCCTGCTGCAGCTTCCGGCATGGCATTACCACCTTAAAAACCGACAATAAACAACTTCATATTAATCTGGTTACATTTATAACTTTACCAATATGAAGAATATACTTAAAGATGCATTATGTACGATATAAATAAAGATCTGATCGTTCTTGCTATAACAGTTTAGAAATAGATAATAAAAATGAATATATTGAAATTTTCAGTCAAATTACTTTATTCTGAGCGAAGTTATGAATGCTTGAAGTTCACAAGAAATAGCGCTAATAACCTCGATTGTCAAGTACCATTGCTGCGATAATATCTGCTTTTAGTTGCAATACGCAAATCAGATTGCAAACTTAATGCTTTGTACTTGATTGTAAAGAAGAAAACTATAGGAGTACATAGTAGTACACACTTTTTCTTAAATAAATGAACAAAAGAAAAAATAACTCACCGTGAGACAATAAAGCGCCATATAAATACCACATGGTGCTTTGTAAACCAACGTGTTTTCGTTTAGGATACATCTTTTCGTAAAATGGGTTGAATCGTTCTATCCCATACAGTAGGAAGCCCACGAATATAACAGCACAGAATATACACAATAACACCTGCCAGGTAAATGGAGCCAGCAGGGTGTACCATTTATCAGCATTGGGATCCGGTTTACGGAAAAACACGACCGAATAACCGAAGTAATAGGGAAATGTAAAGTCCATGACAGCTTCTCTCTCGTTAGAAACTGTTACAGCTGCTAAGATCATATCCGCTTCCTGTAAAATAAAAAAGCAAATGATTTGTGTTTGGTAGTTAGATAATTCAGCATTGTTTAAATGAAAGGGAGACCGTATAATTAGCAACCGTATAAGTAGTTAACAAATATCATATTAGGTGAAGTTTAAATTCGCATAAATATGTGTTGATTTTTTTACCTGATATGCTACTTGACCAATCAAACCCGTCCATTTGCCATCATTAACTCTTCCCCATTCTCCATCCGGTGGTTCCACCATAACATAACTAAATAAGAATACAAAAAAATAAGATACGAACAGCTGATGAGATTTTCATAGGTTCATAGGTTAATATAAAACAGCATTTGATTTGTCGTGATTCTATCATTGGGAATATTCAAATTAAATTACATACAAAATATAAGACATGTCGATCAGATCATGTAAATATTTTGACAGGTAAAAGTTTTAATGGTTTCAAACGTATTTGGCGAAGGCTTGTCAAAATCACTTTGCTCTAATTACGTCTTTGGATTTCCGATTTGATAATGTTATTTTGAATATGGTTTTATTTTAAATTAATTACAATTATTTTTTGAGTGAGCATTATAATTTCTGGTTATGTTATTCTGAATATCACAGTATTCCATAGTAACTACATTTACCTTTTGAAAGAGAACTATAATGTCTCGTGTTGTTTTGAATATGATCTTATTTGAAATTAATTACATTTATTTTTTTGGGAGAGAATTATAATGTATCGTTATGTTATTTTGAATATGAAATTCAAAATTAGATACATTCACTTTTTGAGTGAGAGGTAAAATGTATCGTTATATAATTACGTTTTTCTATGTTTAAGAATTGTAATGTCTCGTTATGTTAGTTCATATTTGGAGACCATCTGAACACTAACAAACGTTATAATTATTTACACATGCCGCCTTACATGACTAGCGTGTTAGTTGTGTCCAATCTAAAAGACCGTTAGCAAAATGAAAAACAACTGAATAATAGCATATTGTCATATAATATTATGAGGGGGTTTAGCGTCGATTCCGTGGTTTGCAATTGGAGTAAATGACACCCGCATAGTAATAAATAGAACGTTTAGTGCGCGATTATAACCTTGAACAACTTGTAAAAACTTACCTAAAATTAAGGCTGATGGCAAGCTCCCACAACAAATCCATGCATAAACCAGTATATACAGCAGTGCCGTTCGTAACTTTCTTTATTACAAAAGGCGAATACTAAAAATAAATTAGTTTAAATTGTATTATTAACTGTGTTCATAAAATTACAAAAATTGCAAAATATTTTTTTTTCTTCAGATTAAAAACAAAAACACCATTTCACCAATTTTGAGGTTTGTCTCTGTGATATTTTTTATAAAAGTATGTTGTTTTAATTCGTTATATAAAAGTGCAATGAAAAATGACGACTTTCAAATAAAATGAAAAGTATTATAGTCAGCACACTCTGTGTCGTCCATGACAAAAACAAATATCCGATTTGAGCAACACTTTTCACTTATGATATTAAATACCAGTTTAACATAAACTTACCTCAAGAGTAGCAACGTAAAATACTCGTTGATTGAAGCCAAAATCTGTATTAGGAAATATATTACCCTTCCCATCAACATCTATATCAACGTTATCTAATTGACGTCTTCCACCTTCTTTCCATATTAACGTAGCCAAACGTGGATTGGTCTTTATCGTAGGGTTCTCTAAGATCTGTGTAAATAAAATGTGAAATAATTTTAGAACTAAATAAAACAAGGAGGACGATTCATTGGGATTTGTGGAGACTAAAATGGGGTGTATTTCCTGACCTGTTATTTGTGGAAAAAATGTCCTATCTGGGATTCAGGTTCAATGTTACATGCCCCTAATCTTTTACCTTATCCGAACACTTGAAGTGTCTAACTCGGCGCGTTGGTATTACAGGCCTCCCCAACCGATCCGTAATCTATTTCCTTATCCTAACAGATGAAGAGTCTAACTCGGCGCGTTGGTATTACAGGCCTCCCCAACCGATCCCTAATCTATTTTCTTATCCTAACAGATGAAGAGTCTAACTCGGCGCGTTGGTATTTCCGGCCTCCCCAACCGACCTGAATTAATTAGATTCTTTCTATATGTATTCCAAAAAAAGTGGACGTCCGATAACCGGAATTCAAATAGTAAAACCCCCAAAATAGACGTGATTCTCAAGACTAAAATATCTGACTGAAGATCCCGAGTTACACTTGGTCAATGTCGTAAAAGTAATAGTTTGTCTATGATAAAGTACATCACATTTTATTAAATGTACGAACATGTCTGAAATGGAATGCCGTGGTCACCATGTCAAAACGGTGTAAAAGTCTATCGTTACAGTAACATTTACAAAATCCTAAGAAGATGTTATTCACAGATAAATGGGACTGGTATATGGAAGACCAAATTGCTTGCCCGATACCCCATTATTGTATGATGACTTATTGTCTGCTAGGTTGATTTTCGCTCATTTCGTCATAATGATCCGATTCGATGAATTTCGAGAATTGTTTGTGGAGAAATGTTTTTGGAGAAATGTTTTGAAAGATTTGTTGTTCAATATTTGTTTTTCGTTGTATTTCTCTGATGAAATGTAAATGTAGGCTATTTTTTTTTATTTTTTTTTTATTTACTAAAATAAATTTTATATACAATTTTACAAATCTGATATCTCAAATGTCTGATTTGTAAAACAAATATTGATTTTAAGATACAAATGTTAATTTTAGTGTACAAATGTCGAAATTCGACAACAAATGAAAAAAATTAGGATTAAGGACTATGAATAAAGAACTAAGAACACTGAATAAAGAGCTGTTTGGTCTTCCATACTGGTACTTACCGATTTTATTTCCGATTTGACGTAACCATCTACAGTAACGTCGCCACTATAATTTGGTTCACTATCAACTTTACGTAAGGCAGCTTGTACAACTTGAGGCAGTACCTGAAAACATAGTGACACGAATTTGTTTTTGATAAGTGAAATTTAAAAAAATTGTAATCTACGACAAGTTCAATATAGAGCACAATTATGTTACATTTTTGATCATTTTTTTTTTTCTTTTAAATATTTTATTTTATATTTTTTTATAATTATTTTAAGAATAATTTTTTCATAATTATTTTAAGAATAATATTTTCATAATTATTTTAAGAATAATATTTTCATAATTATTTTAAGAATATTTTTTTTTTATAATTATTTTAAGAATATTTATTTTTATAATTATTTTAAGAATATTTATTTTTTATAATTATTTTAAGAATATTTATTTTTTATAATTATTTTAAGAATATTTATTTTTTATAATTATTTTAAGAATATTTATTTTTTATAATTATTTTAAGAATATTTATTTTTTATAATTATTTTAAGAATATTTATTTTTTATAATTATTTTAAGAATATTTTTTATAACTATTCCAAGATTATTTTTTTTATAATTATTTTAAGAATATTGTTTCTAATTATTTTAAGATTATTTTTTATAATTATTTTAAGAATATTTTTTAGTATTATTTTAAGAATATTTATTTTATAATATATATATATTATTTTTTTTTCGTAATTTTTTTTCTTTTATATTTTTTAAAATAATTATTTCATATTTTTTTAAATAATTATTTCATATTTTTTAAAATAATTATTCTATATTTTTTTCATAATCATTTTATATTTCTTTTCATAATTATTTTCATAATCATCTTATTTTTTCAGAATTGTTTTTTCAGAATTATTTTATTGTTTTATTATTATTTCTTTTATATATATCGCGCGTGTGTATGATATCGATAGATATTGACTTACCTTTTTAATATTAGTAGGATAACAGTCGTGATAACTCGGTCCAATTAAGACAGCTACATTATCCAGAGTTATACCAGATTTCTCTAAATAATTCTGATCATAACCATAATGTGCTACCAACCAGCGTGACGAATGACGAATAGCGGTTAGATTTTTTTGCTCAACATCGAATATATTCGCCTGCAATGTAAATATAAAAACTATAGAACAAGTCAAGTGTCATTACTCAATTATAAGTTGATGCTTATAATCGGACTACAGAATGTTAATATCTATTCAGGGTATGCCATATCATTGTAGAAGGGTTGGATGGCCGAATGGTTAGCACGTGCGCACTGTATCATACAGTCTGTCATTGAGTCAACTGGCGTGGTTTCGATTCCCCGGTTGTACGTGACAAGGAGTAGGGTCGCCTGTCTAGCCTCGTGGGTTTACTTTAGGTCCTCCGGTTTCCCCCCACTGCTAAATACTCCTATGCGCAAGCGAAATATTGAAATAAAATTGAACCATGTGTTAGTCCCGAATTGACATAGTTTGTGTCGAGTTGACGTTAAACCCCATTTTTCTCCCCCTCTCATACCATTGTTCTTATTTTGGTCTACACCTGTTCTGCTGTGAAATTATCCTGGATATTAATTAAATTACTCTTATTCGTGTAGATTGGAACGAAAATGACATTTATTTTTTCAAAATAAACAAACCATCTTCGCATCCACTGACAATTTATAATGGCCTAAATCCGAGGAGAAAAATGACCTTTGAATTGGGTGAGGGAAATATTTGTCAAGCTCGTTTCGTTTTCTCGTCATGTCATAATATTCTTTACGGCGATGGAGGCCCAAGGAAACCAGTTGTTCCGATGGCCTAGGACTACCTCCCCGTCCACCTCTCACCCTTTACATACTTCCTTACCTCATTTAGAATAGTTTTTACACAACCAAGTGAACAAAGCAATACTACATCCATTTCTTCATCACCAACCAAATCATAGGTGGCCTTTAATCCTGGATAGGAGGCGTAACTAGAGGTTGTCTCGTTGATAGCCAGAATAGTCACGGTGATGCCACGAACGGATAATTCTGTTGATAATTCCATCGTTTCAAATTCTGTCGAAGAAAATTATCCAGGAGTATGAAATGTATGAAAATTTTCGAGGATGTATAAAATATATGAATAATTTGATGTTGGTTTATTGACACTGAACTTTGTAATGCAGTAAAACATGTTAACATTGTTCGCAATCGCATCTTTCTATATATTATTTCTGGGGCTTATTAAATTCTCAGAACAAAAAACATAATCTTTTTTTGAGTAACACCTTACTAATAATTTTTGAATTAAAACATATTTGCTAGTATTCAGCAATAATCTTACCTGTGGATTGATCACAAATTATAACTAATTTCTTCCATCCCATGTTAGTCACAATCTTAACAAGCATGTCCCTCTCTGCTCTCGACATAACCGTTTCACTCTCACAAAACTCGAACTGGTCAATTCTGGACATCTCTAATGACATGCCTAGTTGGTCTTCTGGAGTAATTTCAGATATTGGTTTCAAGCCTTTCTCGATCCGCCACATGTCGGTGTTTCGTTGCCATGGAAATCGAACAATTGGGGATTCGGGTATGCGGAGTCGTTGCCCTTTATGCCTGAGATAATCATTATCGTCAGCTATGATGAGTATGTCAGATGTATTGTGAAGTCTTGAAGCTTAAACAATACAAGTTATTAAATTAGTTTACATTTGATAGAAATGGAAATTGACTGATTGAATATGATACTGTGGTCAATATAAATCGGAGGAAAATATGTGTATAAATAAAAGAAATCCTTATACGGCATTTAGTAAATGAACATTAAATGAACATATGTTATAAAACACAAATTTATATGGAAAACAATCACTGGGTTGAAACGTAGTGTGAAATAAACCCAGTTATTGTTTTCAATATAAATTTGTGTTTTATATTATAAATAAAAGACTTTTACCTTGAAACTTGAAGTCTTAAAATGGGCCCCTTTAACTTATACTTTAAGGACCCTTTGTGATAGATTACCAATGGTTTAGCAACCCATAAATGTATAACAATGCGCGGTATTTAAAACAATCGCTGGATTGAAAATATATACCACAAATCATAAACCTACAGAACAATACAACCATTTACACGTAAACACGGTTTTATATAATTGTATACATGCAATATATTGTGAACTATGTTTACATGGTCAATTACGACAATTAGATATGAAAGATTGTTATTGACGTTCGCTTTGTCTCTTGAATAACAAACATTTTCGAAGTTGAAATGGGATGGGATAGGGTTTTACGTCTCACCAGCAATCCCATGCACTGGTTATGCGACTGACGTGCAGTTAATTACTACGATTGTCTTTGCAGGGGAAGAGGAGTGTTCAAGAAAAGGGTAGCCTTGGTTCCTTTAACTGATAAATGAAATGAAATGAAATGGGGTTTAACGTCCTACTGTTCTGCTTTGACCGGGGTAATCAAGACGGGCATACGCTATATACAGTGTGCTATGAGGGGAATTTTGCCCGGACAGCGGGCACGCCAATTAGTACACGGGGTCTCGGTTTTCCGTTCCATCCGAACGACTAGACAGCTATCCTTGTCAGGATCCTTCGTCCTACACTACTGGCAAGGGGAAACCACACAGGAAAATCCAGATGAACTTTCTCGGTAAACACCGGAATTGAACTCGCTACAACCAGGCTTAGCCACTGATAACATATACAACCTGGATATAACAGATACTATTAGAGAACATTTTGTTATTGTTTTGTTTTAAAATATACAATCATTCGGTGTAACAAACGTATCGTTATGGGGACATTCGAAACCTGTAGCTATAAAGGGATATCTAAATGAGTGAAAGGCAGTGATACATGGTTAAACATTCTACTATTAAGGGTTGTTTTTTTTTTATTTCTTTATTTTCCTTTTCCAGAAAATGATAATTGTTGTATTTTTGTTAACTACATTTGTTTCTGTCGAAAATGTGAATCATTTCGGTGACCTTATGTGGCTGTAAGCAACGGTTGAGGTATACGTGTATATTTAGTTAATTTGCGAAAAGTCTTACCTGCAGCCAAAACGCTAAATGGTTGATAAACAGTGACTGTTGACCATTCGATGTTAACATGAAACTCGGTTACGTTGTAACTGGTGCAGTTGATACTTCTACAGCTATCTAGGGTATAATTTCCATCTACTACATCACTTCCGGCAGCGACTGTATAACATCAAATACAAAGGGTTTTGAGGCCAATTTACATAATATATTTACATAATATATTTCCGTAAATATTTGTATTTTAAAGATACTAACAACGTTTGTGATGATAGGTAAGCTTATATCAGTTATTTAAAGTGAAGTTTATCGATACATCAAAACTTATATTTTATAATTAACATAATAATACATTATTTCAAAATCATTTATCAATTCGTGTCTCCAAGTGATTGTTTATATATTTTTAAATGTGAAGCTATAGTTTTAGATGAATTTAAAACGAAGTCGAATTTATATTAATGTATTCTAATGTCAATTTTAGAACGTATATTTCAGTGAATTTTTATTAAAAAAATTTAATAAATAACATATAAATGAATTTATCAATATTTTGTTGTTCTAAATGTAAATTTAAAAATAAATATGTAAGTAAATATATATGTAAGTATTTATAAATAAAAATAAAAGTGAATCTATGGATAAATATAAAAATAAATTTATAGATACATATAAAAGTAAGTTTATAGATAAATATAAAAGTAAATGTATAAGTAAAATTTTAAAAAAGTAAAAGAAATATAAAGTAAATTTATAAAGAAATATAAAAGTAAATTTATAAAGAAATATGAAAGTAAATTCATAAATTAAAGAAATATAAAGGTGATTTTTTAAATAGATATAAAAGTGTTTTTTTAAATAAATATAAAAGTGATTTTTTAAATAAATATAAAACTGAAATTTTAAATAAATATTTTTTAAATAAATATAAAAGTAAAATTTTAAATGTTAATTGTTTAATTAAAGTCTGTTCATTTTATTTCAAAATAGATTTATTAAACACAAGGAAAAAGTAACGTAACCGCAATAATATCAAACAAAATAAATTTGAAATTGTAATGAATCCATATCCATATAGCCATCAATTAGATAATTTAACTGGTGTTTTCGTGAAACGAACATGCATTATTGGCAATTTGTTTTGAATAAATTTCTCACCTAGATCTAGACTTAGTTGGTCGTCACAATAAACTGTTATGAACCATATTGATAATAAACATACCCAGGCCGGTTCTATTAACCGCATTTCTAGGGATCACGCCTGAAACAAAAAGAAATAGGCATTAATTTATATAAGGGCGTGGGTTCCACTATAGTCCTTGTCACGAATACCTTTAATTTTTATTTTGGGTTGTAGTTCATGTTTGAGAAACCGTGTTAGAGTATTTTCAGAGAGTTGAAAGAGTGCCAGATTAAGTGTAGCTATTTAAAAAATGATGGATGGTTTTCTTAAAATATGTCAAAGTCAATGAATGACAAATAGCAAAGTAATGTAAGTAAATTTACTAAGCACGACATTCGCTGCTCATCATTTCTTTATTTTCACATTTTAAACAGGGTTTAATCAGTTTTAATTATTTTCTTCAGTTAAAGCATCGCGGTGGGTAATTAAATTAATGTAAAAGGAATGATAAGTGATCTTCTAAAAATTATTGAAACATAAATATTTGGGATTGTAAAATAAATCCGGTTTATTCGTCCACAACGGTATTATACAACTGGCCTTAATAAGTTATATATTCGCTGTTTGACTTTTACATCAAACCTGCCATAATAATTTACTTGGGAATTACCTAAAAAGATAAACCAAATTCTTTGGCATGTGATTCCATAGTTTACAGCCGACATAACAGATATCTATATATTATATAATACTTCTTGGGGTGGGTGGGGACATACCGATAGAACAATATAAAATAACCAGGATAAAAGAAAAGGACCGTTTAGTGCTACTGCATTAGGAGACAGACCACCATTAATTTCTCCATTGACTCCAATGTTAAATCAGTGGTGTTCTACATGCTATAGCCCATTCCCTAAACTTCGCTTTACAACACAGCAAGTATGACATCATGGGATCATCAGAGTACTAAATTTGTATGAGGTTGACCACCAAAATTTCAATTCACTGAAATTCATAGCAGACTAGGGTCAGAATATCATGTCCGTGTTAGTGCAAAGACAAAACAAAGCCTCTTTACTCCTTGTAGTCTTCCGCCTTAAAAGTCTCAATCTGCCACCAAACCAGGCATAAAATAGAAATTCAATGCCTCTTCATCAATTCTACACCAAAAAGTCAATACAGATAAGCATGCAAAATGGCAGGAAAGGGGGGAGAAAAATATATCTAAAAATAGCCGAGATATGGAAAATTAATGGTGGTCTGCCTCCATTACAAATCAAGTTATCTCCCTTTTAGCATATCTTACGTTGTGCAATGGAATCGTAGTAAAAGTAAAACAAACACTAAAAAAATCTTAATAAATTATTATGGCAATATTCTCAATATAATTCCGTGGTGTTTAACTCACTAATAAACACATTTTAAAAAAAATACATATTATATGTTTTCGAAAAAGAGAGACAAAATTCATTGAAAGGCTTATAAAAAGGGGAAAATTTATTCTAGATTGCTATCTCTAATATCTTTTTACCTATTCACAGACTCGATTTTTTCATTTATTGCTTTGTTGGTTGATTTGTGTTGGTTTCTGTTATATTATAGATGTGATTTTCTTGGTTCTCACAGAAAATCTTATTCGCATATCTGGTATTTTAAAAATTTATATCTGTCGTTTAATTCGTTTCTGGTGGCATACATTATGACTTTGAAATAAATGTATTTTATTAAGATTTTCGTTTCCAATATACTTCCTCGTCCATTATCCGTTATATTCGCTATCACATATTCTATATTATTTGAAGAAAACAACAACTTTGTGCTCAAATAAATCAAACTGCTCTGTAATAAATGACATGGAAAAAGACATGGGAAGTGATAATTTGACTTTCTAAATGACATTTGGTTTTTTATTTCTACGGTATGTTTCAATCGGTATTATTTGGGTATGAAAATGATAAAATATTCAAATAAATCATAATAATAAAATGCTAAATCAAATATAGATCATAAAATTGAAATAGTATTAATGAGTTCCATTACCACTTTTCTATGTTTTATTTTTACTGTAATAAAAAAGTTCTTTTGAAAAAGAAAATGTCATTCTAACGAGCACTGGCAACCGTAGGATTAGATTCTTTGTCCATGTTAATTAGAGTTATCTCCCTTACATGAAAATAAGGCGCAAATTTTAAAATTACGAAAGACATTAAGATTTGGCGCAAACAACTTTGAAAACTTCTTAAGAACTTTTCTTCTGAAGTAATCTTTCACGTCGTCGAATTAATCCAATATTTCAATACAAACTTTGCTAAATATATACCGTATATAAAAAAAAAACCAAAAAAACAAAACAAGAACGTTTACCTTGGTTTCCTCCAAAACTTTTTTGGTGTTCAAAATACAGGTTTCCTGTAAAGTTGGTGGCTTAGGCGAGAAGAGGAAACGGTTAATGTTATTAATGACGTGTCACCTTCCTTATATAGCTCCTTCACGACATTTAAACAAAAAACCCTTGACAAGTTTGTTAATATTTCATAAGCAACTTAATTGCTTGATATTTCGTAATAATGTATAATTTTTTAAAAGGAATATCTAAATGGGGAGATTCTTAGACAGTGGAGATCTAGATAACCTTCAAGAGTCGATGTCGTTCTCTAGATTATCGCTTATCATATTCATTAAATATTCTGATAAACGTTCATATTCTAACTGATAATGTTTCACGAACAAAAATCTTAAAATCTTGGTAATTAATCCTTCCCTTTTACTAATTAGAAAAATGATGCAAAATAGAGTCTGTTATCATCCCCTGTGGAATTCAAATAACAAATAAATTAACCATTAGTCGATAAAACCAGGTAATTAACTGGTAAGTAGCATGCGCAGTGGATACAACCACATCCTCCAGGGGCTGTATTAATATCAGGGCTTTCATGAAGAAAGAAACCTGCATGCAATCTAAAATCATGTCATTAAGATGCAGGAAATTCATACAGATTAATTCGTCTATTCTAAAAAAAATTGCGTATTTCTTTGTTGATTGGAATAAAGATTTTTCAATTTAGATAGGAATATGTTTAGGAATATATGGAGCATTTCGCAAAAGGTGTTGAATATTACTTAAGATAAGTCTTTAAATTTCATCATAGGAGTAAAATTCGTATTTGTAAAATTGTAAAAGAATTTTGTTTGAATTAATGCGTGTAGATTTTTTAAACTGAATGTGGGGTGGTTTGGTGTTTTAGCCATTGATATTTGTAGCTTTAGTTCTCATAAAAAAGTACTCAACAAAAATCTATTTAGCCTAATGGAATAATATGAATATCACCTACCACAATTTAATAAGTTTCAAAAGCTTTCGTTGTAATAATATATATATTGTACATTGCCTTTAAGTGGGGATTTTTCAAAATAAACGCGGTTGTTCACACAATTTACATTTGTTAACTTCAGTGATGCTGATTTATATTGCAGAAAACTTAAATCTAAATTCGTCTGTGCTACGTTTGTGCTGTATGAAATGCAACGAAAATAATTGTTGTTTATACAGAAAATATCCGTAAAATTCTTTCGAAAAATAGGAATATTAATACGTTATGCCTACGCTAAACATCTTAAGTATTGAACACTTTCATATTGAATTGCTGTAAACTTCTTGTCACGACGCATGCACTTCGGGTAATTTGTAGCTTATGTGAAAAAATGGACGAAAACTTCAATATTTCTAACTGAGCAACACGCGGATATTTTTTTAACAGAAATGTTTATTTTACATTTTGAAAAAGATTATTAATTATTCAGCAATTTCTTCTAATCTACTTTCGTTCGTATCAAAAACGAATTATAGCTTTTTTTTATTCCAGTTTAAAATGGGACAAGATGTGTTCAAACAGATCTAGAGCAGGAACAGTTTAAATTGGCAAATAGGTACAGATCTGACCAGAAACAGACACCGAATCACAAGAGAAAACTTGACTCGATTTGGTTTGAAGTTAGTATTATTATAATACTAGCGGATGACCCGGTGCTGCACGGGTTGAAAGTAGTATAACTCCGAATCCGGAAGCGGTAGCCCAACGCCACCAGCCCTATGCCACTCCCCGGCCCGAGCTATACCTCTATACACCAAATCTCAGCCTCGGGGCATCCCTGAAGAGACTGAAAACGACCGTCACAAATATTAGTATAGATTACGAAACATATAGGATAGCCCGATTTGTACTCTAGAAGCATGGGAGCAAGTCCGATTTCTAAACCATCTGGAGGATACCGTAATGTTCAGCATCCAACAGCTAAAATCTTCTTTGCGAACACCTCCATGATAACTTAATACCTATGTAAAACATCAGATGATGAAACGGTCGATACAAATAAAATTAAACCGAATAACCATAAAATTTGTGTTAATGTAATTGTATATGAGATAGAGCTGCTATTAACCTATTATATATTGATATTATACACAATATTTTACGTTCAGGATAATAATACGATTCATGAACTAATTGTATAGCAAATAAAAAAATATATTGAATATAAATTACCCATATAATTCTACATAAAGACGTTCATGTGTTGCTTTATTTAAAGGTGTACAATCGTATTATTTTTTTTAGAAAAAGTTATTAGCTCTTGGAAAATTTACCTTGTCTGTGCCCTTACAATCCATACTTGTTTAGATTACGTTTCTTGTATTTCTCTATATTTCAATATTTACACGTTTGACTGGACACTTGGGTATATCATTTTTAAAAACCTAGCTTTACAACACAACAATGCAACATAAAAGGTACAGCGGTCTCGCTCTTTAAATGTATTAATTTGGTATTAATGGCTAAGTTTATGTCAATCCTACTGCATTTTCTATTATGATCGGGATTTATGATAAATTGCAAATCACTGGGATACAAATAGTATGTTTTCTATCAAGGTATTGTCCAATATCCAGTACGCATTTCACCTGGTCTATTATATAGGTCATTAAATTTTATTTATGTCAATTTGTGGGACATGCGTCACCATTTAATGGGATTCCCCGTGTCACGGGTCATTTATTTACTGCAAATTAGTATTTCACTTTTGCTGTTTTGATCCATATCATAAAAATTGAGCAGATTGGGAAG